AAACGTTCACCAAAAAACTTTAGTGAGAAAAATCGAAAAAAACGAACTACAAACATATTAACGCCAAACATTCGGTAGAATTTATAGAATATTGTAAAAATTATGGTCTATTACCAACACACACACACACACACACACACACACACACACACACACACACACACACACACACACACACACACGCACACACACACACACACACACACACACACACACACACATATATATATATATATATATATATATATATATATATAATGCAAAAACAATTAAATTCGAAAAGTAGTCAAAATCAGAATATAATCGAAACAAAAAGTACTCGGAATCGAAAAAGTATCCGAATTGGTAACTGAAAAAGAATTTGTCCCTAGTCCGAAAATTCAAGATTTTTTTTAAAAATCATTAACAACTAGCGAATAAAAAATATAAAAAATATTATAATTATTCCACATATACACGAGCGGGACTTATAAAAAATCTTATTTGCTCTTTATCTTGCTTTATTTCAAAATTGAATTAATGATTCCTCTGAACCTAGATAGAGCGTAATAGACCTTTTTTTTTAACAAAAATACTTTTCAAAATGTATTTAATGCTTTCACACATTTTTTAAAATATTTTCTGACATAAACAAACAGTTAATATATCGATTAATATGAAACTTGGTTTTAAAGAGTTTGTTTGACCTTTGACCTGAAGACGTTTTGGATCTCAAGACATGCTCCGAAGATGTTTTGTAAAAGTTTAAATAATATTCTTGCATTGGAATTTTTTCAGTTCAACCCGACAATTTCAGAATTTTATAATTAAATTTATGAAACATTTATTTTGTCTTAAATTTATAAACATAAATCTCGCATCAAGTTTATTAATTTATACACATACGTTATAACGCTTACATGAATAGTGTGTGGTCACAATTTGAAACTTAATCAACTAATATACAACTTATCGCAAACAAAATTTGATAAATACTACTGAAAACCTTGAAGGTGAAATACACATTAGATGAGCAAGGAGGTAAGCTGGAGATCGACCGCATATTGGACCAGGAAAGTATGGGAGCGACAGGTAGGGACTACCACATGGGTCCGTGCAGTAGCTTCAACTCGCTGGTTTTCGGTGGACTCAGTCACAAAATTTACAACAATCATAAAGTAAAATTTATTTATTTTATTAAGTTTGTCTTTTTACATGATAGCCACATCTTTTATCATTTGATAGGAAACATTACAGAATCTTCACAACGTTTCATTTCTTGAAGACAATGAACCAAACGAGGTAACCTTTTACATTTTAACGATCGTCATTGTATTTTGAATTTAAAAACTTTTCTACCAAAAAACAGATTGTGAAACATCGTTTTTCCGGTTGTATAAGAAAATTGAACATTGATGGCAAACATCCCATCATTCCACCTAAATATTTCGCTGTGTCGACATGTGAAGAATAATGACTGATTGACCAAGTTGCCACATTTACTTTCCGTGTCGCTAGGCATGGAAACATTTGCATAATTAACAAATAAAAATACTGTTTAACTGCGGCGGTGGTGTGATAAAACTTTAAGAGAAAGGATTGTGAATGAATCCAATGCTCATCAACCATTTTTAATATGTTTGCGTAAATAATGTGTTGAACTTAAAGCTGTATTTCACAAATTTGTTTGCTTGATACATATTACTATTATTTTTATTAAACAGTAGAATTGCTAATTGCAAAAAATTGCATAATTTGTTATTATTTAAAAACAATTTGTTTTTTTTCCATTTCATATCTTATTAGATGAGAACTAGTTGAATGAAAACGTGACATAAAAATTGTGTAAATAACATTTGTTTTAAAAACTATTTTTAGAGTAAACTTTTTTAAACATACACATTTTTGTTTTCACGATAATTTATTTAGGCTGGTTTAGCTGACCAAGCCAATGAATTACAATTTTTTGACTATATGATATGACTTGTTAGCCAGTCGTCTCTTTATGCTCTTTCATTGACGGACATGAAAATATTGAAAACTTATTAAGCGCTGTTAACTCTCTACATTTTTCAAACATTCATCTTAACTTTAATAAATTTAAATAATTCTATAGTAGATGAACAATTCCGAAAGGATTTGCTTAAAAATTTTATTTTGTTAATGTTATTTTGCTATGCCACAAGCTTATTTTTATTTACTTTACTATGTGCTTACGTGAAAATCCGTGTATGAACTATGAATGCTATAGATATCATCTTGTAAGGAAACATTATAGTTTTGGTGGTGGATAAATTAATACCAAACAATCATAATCACGGATTCATAGTCTCTCTCTCTTTTCTCTCTCTCTCTCTCTCTCTCTCTCTATATATATATATATATATATATTAAATATAAACAATTACTTGGAAAAGAACAGTTTTACAAACACCACAGTCTTTCATATTTTCATTTAACTGGAAGCTTGAAATTCGATGACAATCTAATTGTAATGTTGAAAATTGTAATACATACAAAATACCCGCCATTTTTTAATTAATATCTTAGTTATTTTCTGCTGCATCATGTTGCCAAATGTTAGTGAATTAGAGTCTTCGTAATCCATTGTAAATTATTTTATAACCAATTAACGAATTAACTAATAAATTATTTTTAAATTTATTTGATTGTTTTTTTTTAATATGTATTCGTTTATTCACTTAACACTGAAACAGTTTTTTTTTGTATTTTCAACTTGTTGAGCAAAAATAGTCACAAAGTGATATGATGATAAATAGTGATGGCCTGACCAAAAACTTGCTAAGAAGTAAGAAACGACTTCAGCATCATCAAACGTTGCGCCTACCAGATAAATAACACTACACTCACATGGTAAAACCGATGAAACCATAAATATATATGTTTGAAAACTAATTTAATTTCATCATTTGTGGGGAATAATATTGTTGTACTTGAGAAAATGTTAAAGTATGCCAAACCTACTTTGAAATGATTTCCTATTTGAAGAATATAAAAAAATATATTACCATATACCATATTCAGAAATTTTATAATTTGTTTCTAGTCAAAAATATTTTGTTTTGCATGATAAATTTGTATCAAATTTATATAGCCATGCAACGTGAATCAGAGATGGAAAAAGTTGGCAGCAATAATGCGTTGAGTGTTTTCCAAATGGTGTAACAGCGTTAAAAATATAGAACGAGCATAATCATACGTAGGGGGAAGGCGTGCACATTCGATCGGTGTACACAGTCAATCGGAACGTTTGTTTTCGAACGCACTCTTATTTTGTAAAATATAAAGTACCACGTGGACGACAATATAGGTGACCTCGTTGTTTATCGCCATTTTAACAGAAATCATTCGCGGATAAAATATTATAAATCTTTTATGCATTTTAACGAATACAAAGTAAATATTGTACACCATCGAACGAATTAAGCTGTACATAAGGTAGGTACGGTTAGATATACCTGTGTTGCATTATTGATATATTATTGTATATACTATGCGTGTGTATTCATAAATTTTGTGGTAGGAAATACCCATAAAAGTTATAGGTAGTATAAAAATCATAGGCATGGACGTACACAGTCGATCGTCATAGGAGTGTACACAGTTGATCATTGATCGACTGCGTACTGCTTTTAATAATGAACTAATTTATGCCTATATTATTATATTTATATTATTATTATGCTATCAATTTTTTTTAATTCACATGTGACATAAACCTATATAGTTCTGCTTTATATGTTTCAGATTAACAAGCTGAAAATTTTTTATCTGTGGTCGAAATGGGTCGAAAAAGAGTTGTTGAAAGAAAAAAAGGAGCAGTGTTATCAGAATCTATGAAACAGGCTGTCACAATTGTGCTGAACAATACAAACACAATTAGAGGAGCATCTAAACTTTATAAAATACCATATGGTACATTACATTCATATGTAGCAAAAGCAAAAGATGTTGGATTGGATAGCATGAGGTTTGAGGCTAACTACTATGTGCGAAAGATTTTCTCTGTTGATCAAGAGACTTCAATACATAATTATCTAGTAAAATCTAGTGAATATCATTATGGATTATCGAGAAAAGAGGCTAGAAAATTAGCATATGGTTTTGCTGTACAAAACAATGTAGAGCATCCACCATCTTGGGATGCAAATGAAACTGCAGGAAAGGACTGGTATAACCAATTCATGCACAGACATCCGGATTTATCTCTTCGTAAGCCAGAAGGAACTAGTCTTTCGAGAGCTACAAGCTTCAACAAGCATAACGTCTCACAATTTTATAAAAATTTGGATGCTGTATATAAGCGATATAACTTTGAACCACAAGATATCTTTAACTGCGACGAAACTGGTTGTACTACAGTACAAAAGACCACTAATGTCAGGGTAATAGCAGCCAAATCTAATCGTCAAGTTGGGCGTGTTACTTCGGCGGAAAGAGGCCAGGTTGTTACTGTGTGTTGCACTATCAACGCCATTGGTAACACAGTTCCGCCTTTCATGGTTTTTCCTAGAGTCCACTATAAAGACAGGATGATTAAAGGCGCTCCACCAGGAACATGTGGAGCCACTAACCCTAGCGGCTGGATGACATCTGAAATATTTATGAAATTTCTAGCACACTTTGCAAAACATTGCAAGTGCTCAACTGAAAAACCTGTGTTGTTAATATTAGATAATCATGAGAGCCACATATCCCTACAATCCTTGGACTTTTGTAAGAATAATGGAGTTGTTCTATTGACTTTCCCTCCACACTGCAGTCACCGGATGCAACCGCTTGATGTTGCTGTTTATGGTCCGTTCAAACAATATTACACTCATGCATGCAATGATTGGATGAATACACATCCTGCAACACCAATGTGTATTTTTGATATTTCAGAAGTTGTTGGTGTCGCTTTTCCACTGGCTTTCACACAGAAAAATATCAAATCGGCATTCTCTTCTACAGGTACTAAATTTAAATAAATTTCAAATTAAATATTTATAGCATTTATTTACAATGGAAAAAGAACTTTCACATTTGCAGAGATTTGTTTTGATGTGTTGCAAAAAATGTTGTGAATTGTGTATAATTCTAAACCTTATAATTCTTGTATAACATATTCTAACATTAATTACTTCATAACATTTTTACAGGAATATATCCATTCAAAAGCAATAACTTTGATGAATCAGAATTTTCAGCTTCCTATGTCACTGACCGACCACAACAAGATGTAGCGACTCCAAATGTTATTGATGTACAACAACCAGGTCCGGATGCAATTACCCCAAATGTTAGCGATCGGATACAACTGGGACTGCATGCAATGACTCCAAATCGACTACAACTTGGATCACATGCACCATCTTCAGATCTCACCGATCAAATAAGTATGAAGTCTCCAGAAGACATACGACCCTTTCCAAAAGCAACTCAACGAAAAACAATGAAAGGAGGTAGAAAGAAAGCAACAACGAGAATTTTAACTGATACTCCAATTAAAAATATGTTACAGGAAGAATTGATTGCACGTCTTTCAAAAAAAACTGCAGCAAAAAAAACTTTGAAAATAAATCCTGTCAAACGCAAGTTAGATATAAAAACATCTATGGAAAACCCCATCAAGAAAAGAAAAACAGTTGTGCGACAAGATAAAACAAAGGTGACACCTAAAGTAGGTAATTTTGGAGAAAATTCCGCTGGAAAAACAAATGGGACTAAAATAAAAGTGAACCATGCCATTGAACCAGACTTTGAATCCGAGGATGAAGCAGAAGAAGAATTTCGGCTTAGATTACAGAAACAGAAAAAAAAAATAGTTGTGTCTGGCCAGAAGGATTGTGATGATATTGAGCTGTGTGATGTAAATATTTCAACATTACCACAATTGGAAAGTGACAGCAGTAAAGATGAATATAATGTAGGAGATAAAACTGAAGAAACAGGTGAATTATTGTATGATTTTTCCGAACTTAATGATGGTGAATTTGTCATTGTAAAATTTGAAATGATGATGAAAACAGACAAGAAGAAAATTGTTCATTATATCGGCAAATTAACAGAGAGAGATGGTGAACTAATGATTGTGTTTTTAAAAAGAGAAAAGTCTACAGCATTTCAGTTTATAATCTCAAATGAAGAACCATATGAAATTGATAAAAATGACATTGTTTGTAAGCTTCCAAAACCAGTTTGTCATGGTGGAACTGCCCGGGCCTCAAGGCATTTAATATTTCCTGTTGATCTGTCAGTCATTGAAAATCTATCTTAGTTTGTGGCCTTTGAAGGGAAACTTTCACTTAAAAACATTATTTCTACTAGTACTAGTTTAGTATTACCAACTAGTTCAGTAAAACTGTTAATATTTATTCATTTCTTTATTTTAGATTAGTATAATGAGAAGAATTGTAGAAAAACTTATATCTACATAAGGACATTTTACTAGAAGAATTCACATTATAACAGTTTTCTAAATCAGTATTAAATCACTAATTTCTGTATGTTTTTAAATTCTTATCAACACTTAATTAAATGCTTGGCAAACTTAAAATTGTGTATTTGTAGTAGTGATCGGATGTGTACTTACATGTGATCGGATGTGTACACTGGTTGTACACAATCGATCGTTTTCAGTAGGTCATTTTGAACTCCATTTTGCTCAAAACCATTCCAATTAGATAAATGCACTAGGTAAAATTTGAAGTTTTAATAATAAAGGCATAAAACAAATATTTAGAGAAGATGCTATCTCTTAAACATTTTAAGTTATAGCCATTTTTGTAAAAAGTGATCGACTGTGCACTCCTTCCCCCTATAACAGATTTATTAATGGAAACAATTTTAAAATCGATTTTCAACTTTTATTTTCAGCATTGTTTCTTATGTTTTTTTTCTCAAATTTAATTTCTATTAACTTTGTTTTTAATACAACCACTTTTTTAAGTAATAAATTTAATGTTTAAATTATAGCGGCGTTAAAATAAATAAATTACTTAGTTCGGTAGAACTGTCAATATTTTTTTTTCGTAGTAAAATTAAAAAAATTTAAAATAGGAAATTAAAATTAATTAATTAATTCTACGTTTGATAATACAGCAATAAAGAAATACACACTGGCATCTATGAACAAGCAAACAGTAAACGAATCAACGAATCAACAATTTATAAAATGGTAAATCCCGATAAAAAATTAAATATTGAAAATTTCAGAACTAGGTGTATTTTCCAGCAAATTAATCGTCAACTGTTTCAATTCAGAGTCAGCCTTGATAGATTCATTCACGTCTCTATTCTGCGATATTCCGCACGTTCAATTTATTATTATTTTTATTTAATTATTTTTTTGTCATTATTTTTATTCTATCGGCCTGCTTATGTTGAATTACTCACAAGACTTTTTATTTTCTATTTATGTATTCTACCAAAACTCTCATCGACCATTAACGAGAAAATTCGAATTGAAGGACAGAAAGTTAAGGAATTGAAATGAAACAGCATCAAAGCAATGCATTTTTATTTGTAAATTTCACGTTATCACACCACTTCAAAGATATTTTTTCATAGAAGTAATATTAAAACCGTCGGAAAATATTTAGTATATTAAAAAATTTGATACTGAACATGAATAATTGCGTTTAATGTTAGAGTAGTTAAAACTAAATATAATTTTGTTACCTCTTAGTTATACAATTGAAATGTTAATTGAATAAACTTGTTTCGAGTCAGGCCGCATTGATATGCAACAGGCCCTTCAGTTCAATGTCCAACTTCATTCTATTTTACTCGTAGATCATTCTTGGCATCAAGATATCATAGATTTTTATGTAAACAGTAACGGTAGGCGTGAATGGATAGAACTTGCTTGACGTGTGAATGTTTCAACACTTCGACGACTATTGAAGACGTCGCGAGAGTTTCGAGATTTCGCTTGATTTTATAAATTTTATTGAAATTATTCAGGATTAGCATGAATTTTAAAAAGTAATAATCTAATTTTAAAATGAAGATTAGTTTAATTAATGTAGTCGTATCTTTAGCGTTTTTTTTGTCCACAGTTGTAGCTCAATATGGGTAACTTTTTAAATGTTTCATTTTAAAAAATTATTTAAGTACTACATGCCTGTGGAACGTCAATTTACTGAAATTTTGATATCAAATAAATGTTTTATTTTTGTTTTTTTTTGGTAAATAAAATATTTAAAAGATAACAACTATTCTATTAATTTCAGACCGCGAATACTTGTGAAAGGCGGAAATCTTGTGTTCGAAGGAGCTGCCAACAAGACTATCGAGTTCATCTCCGGAGTAGATGGAAATATCTTCATCAGCGGCTACAACATAAAGGAAATTGTGGAAAAGGTTAGTTTCCATTTTAGTATATTTAGTTAATGTTTATTAATATTAATGATTTCGATATATTATACGGAATTCTTATACATTACCCCGACACACTGTCTCTCACTACGATTTACTCTCTCCTTAAGAATAACTTAATTAAATTATTGTTTATATATACGGTGGCCACTAGCCTTTAAAAATATATTTAGGTTTTACTAACGGAATTTGATTTGATTCTTGAGCTGCTCTGCTAATGCTGTCGAACTAATGGGCAAAATGTATAGAAAGCCGTGAACCCAAAAAAATTTATATGTTTGTAACATTTGCGTCATAACATATTTATTTTTCAAATTAAAAAATGAAAAATATAAGGAAAGCAACAAAGATGCATTTTTCCATCAAATATAATCATAAATTTTAAATGTTCTAGTTTAAAAATTAAAAAAATTAACAGTTTACACGAAAAAAAATTGTGTTGTAAATAAATGGCGCGGCGTATTACTATTAACATGAACAAAAATATTGAAGATTAAACGATTGAATATAAAATACGTCTAAATCTAAGCTAAGCGTAAAAATAATTTCAAAAATATATACAAATTATTTTATAATGTCATGTCGAATTGAAAGTGATTTTTTAAAAGCTGCCGTGTATTTGATTTTCAATAGTGGTCTCATTGTATTATATTTCAAAACTAAGCAGCTTTATATGTAGTTGGAAATCATCAGTGGCGGATTCTGGAGGTGTGGTGTGGAGTGCGTTCACTCACCAAGCCATTAAAAAATTTATTTTCTTAAGTAATAACAAATGCATTGGGGAAAATAGCCTTATGTTCAAATAGCAAGGTATACATTAACTATGAACACAAATGCTCCGCGACCATACCCATCTGGCTATGGATTTGGGTCGGTTAAGAGTGCATGGGAGGCAAGAATAGGTACTACGCATCCCATTCTATTAAATCATTTTCATCATTTAATGCTAATTTCACCCGCCACAATAATTCTTCATGGCTTCCATTCCTAAAATGTTCTCATCAGATTAAGAATGTTTTTAAATACGTTTTGGGTTTATATATTGGACAATTTTTTCTTACAACAGATTTTGATCAGTAAATGTCACATAGCAGCTGAACTATGTGTAGTACTTGACTTGAGTGATAACTTTAAAACGTTTGCGTCATTATGTGGAATTTAATTTGAGATCCCCGCAACATATAGGTATGCGACGTCAACGCTGTTTTCGCAACCAGTAAATTTTATGATGGGAGGAACACATAGGACAGTGTTTAGGTCAAATAATTAATTTCAATTTCTATGTGTAATTCTCTGTCAGCGTCATGTAAAAATGTATGTGTGCTACGTGTGCATGTGTGTGTGTGTGTGTGTGTGTGTGTGTGTGTGTGTGTGTGTGTGTGTGTGTGTGTGTGTGTGCGTGCAGTGGTGTATTTAGACAACTTTGATGGAAAGGGGCCAAATTATAACAGGCGAGGGGTAAACATTTTTACGGGGGGGCCAAAATTTGTGATAGTATGGCTGACAACCTTTTGTTTTGCTTAACAAACCCAATTTTTGGTCGATTTTTTACCTAAAACGGCCTTTTTTCTGACTTTTATTAAAAACTGCCCCTCGGCCCCGTTAAATTTGCCACTGTATGTGTATATTTGTGTGTGTATGTGTGTGTGTTTGTGTGTGTGTGTGTTTATAATTGTACTATGTAAACAAATGATTATGTGCACACACTGTTGTAAGCAAAGATATTAAATAGCAATGTAATATCAGTCTGCTACATCTACTCAAAATTTTTTAAGATAAATTTATAGTTTTATTTATATAAATTAAATTTGAGATTTTATTTTAATGTTTTCTTCTTAGATATCCACATTGTCATCACAACAACAAGGGTACACGCAACTGGTTCGTAGTACAATTCTTAAAATTTAAGAACTTGAATTTAAGTAATTATTTTTAATTTTTAATTTATATATAATATATTACATGTATGAATATATTAATTTGTTTTAAACATTATAAAATTTTCATATTTTATAAATATTATTTAATTTACATTTATTTAATAATCGAACTATGAATTTATGGATTACTTTATTGAATGTTGGGGATTACGCTTAGTTAAGAATAAGATTTACTCTTTTGGAATGCCCCATTATGTAACAAATTTATTGTTCATAATAAACGAGTTAATAATTATATATATATTATATATATATTATATATATATATTATATAATTGTAACATAAAGATCTGTATATTAAATTATTGTGTATTTTTTTTGCTATATTTGTTTTGTAATGATAACATAAAATAAATTTTTTAGATCAGAACCATATCATTTCACAGTTTTATTTATCAAGCTTGATTAACATATAAACAAAGACATAACCAGCCACTAGTTTAATTTAATTATAATATAAATCAGTAATGTGATAAACTAGAAAGGTAACGTAATTTAAATTTGAACTTGTAAATATAATTATATAACTCATCAAAATTATTAGACCACTAGGCACTAAGACAACAATAACTTGTTGAATTTATTAGTATTAATTAGTATAGTTAATTGTTAATGGTACAATCAATTTTTAAATTTTTACTTTGTTATGAAAATAGTTAAAAGTGATAAGCATATTTTAATTTTAAATTGTTTCTCCACTGGTACTGGTACAGATACCTCAGGCATTTGGGACTGCTAAACCGTATCACTATGATCAGACCATCACAAGCATAAACAAAAGGGTGGGTACAGTAAATATTCTTCACATAGTAATTGAGAAATCATTATAATGTTACCTTGTTCAAATTTATATTTTAAATAGTGTTTTAATTTCATTTTTTAGATTGATGAATTAGAAAAAATTGTTCAGGATATGAAAGCAGTTAGATTTTTTTAATTAGTTTTTGCAATGGATATTATTTATTCTGAAAGTTCAACAATTACAGCCCTTTTTTAAGATTAATAATTATAATTATATTATACAACATAAAGAATAAATCAACATTTTCAAAGGCGCTAATAAAAGATGAATGCTCATCAAATCCTTGTTTCTATGGAGCCACTTGTGTTAATGAGTTCAATGGTTTTATGTGCATTTGTACATCTGGTTTCACGGTATTGTATATGAATCAACATTTGTTTTTGAATAATTTCGGTGTTTTTATTATGTTAGATGGTAAACTTTTGTTCACATTTTGAAGTAAAATATAATTAGATGGTAAAACTATGTTCACATTTTGTTTTAGTAAATTAAAATAATGGGAATATTTTATATTTAGGGAAAGTTGTGTGATGTGGATGTTGATGAATGTGTCACGCTGAATAACACGGATGTTGGTTGCTTCCAACCAGAGAAGTGCTTCAACTTTTTGGGTGGCTTTGCGTTAGTTGTGGTGCATACCAATTACTGCAATTGCTCTTATTCAAATAGATCGATAATTAATTAATTAATTACTAGATAATTCAACAGAAGTCAAAAAAGTGAGACAAAAGTCCAACTTTTTATTTATTTATTTGTTTGTTGTTTGTCATTCATTAATTCATTCATTCATTCATTCCTTCATTCATTCATTCTTTCATTCATTCATTCATTCATTCATTCATTCATTACGTTAATTGTTTAATCAGATGTGAATGCCCACCTGGACGCTATGGGGCAAGGTGTCATAACACGGCAGGTACATGTGGTTCGTCATCAAATGTTGAAATGTGTGGGCACGGTACTTGCTACCCCATCTATGGAGATACATCAAACGTTTGTAAATTTGTTTTACCTCCTTTCTTTTCAACTTTATTATTTTTTATGTTTCTGTCTATTAACTTGCACAGTTTGTAACTCGGATTAAATTTTTAGCATTAATATTTTCAATTTATACTCTTTTTATTAAGAAGATGCTACTACGGTATTCGTTAAATAACTTCAACATTTTTATTATAATTTCATTTTTGACTATGAAGCGGAAATATTCATGTCAATGTGACCCTGGATGGCAAACTTACTATAGAGTGAACAATTCAGCTTGCATAAGTGATATCAATGAATGCCAAAGGTATAAACTATCTAAATGAAACTTTATCAGCATTTGTTTTTAATTGTTTAACTTTCCTAACATCCTCTTTGTTTTTTTTCAGTTAAAAATACTCTTGCAGTTATAAATACTGATGCAAAGTGAATTAGCAACCCTTTATGCTGAGATCTAATACTTACAATTCTATCCTATTATCGTGACCATGTCCGAGTTTTTAAACTCACATCTTTTTTTCGAATTCATTCTGTTATTAAGAAACTGATCGTTGATTTGTGTTTATTTATATTGAACTGTTCATTGAACTTGCAGTAGTGGTTTCTATCCATGCTCGGAGGAACCATACGTGGAATGTGTTAACACGATGGGCTCGTTCAGATGTAAAGATTGCCCAGCTGGTAGGCCCTCTTCCATTCCTAGTCATCAGGCACTCCTTGTTAATATTTATTGGACAAACGTGAATTTTCATCGCAGGTTTTTACGGTGACGGTAGAACATGTCGAGACGTAGATGAATGTGCAGTTAACAATGGCGGTTGCTCTCTTGAACCACTTGTTTCATGTCAGAATACCATTGGCTCATTCAGATGCGGTGACTGTCCAGCGGGTTTGTGTTTCCTTGAATGTTATTCCTATATGCTTCAAATTTTAAATACTTCTAAATACCATCCCATTTCACTTTTTCCATAATTTCATGTTTTTTTTTTTATGTAGATCCAATTGAAATTTTGATTGTATGTTTTTTCAATGGTCGGTTACATTATAAGTAACATTATTACAAATGTTTTTTTTCTTCTCATTTTGTTATTAAAGAGTAACTACGCAGTTGAACAGCGTCACATTCCTTGTTTCCTTTTAACTCCAAATAGTTATCATAACTACTCTATAGTTTCTAATATTTCTTGCCCAGTAATTTTGATTTGATCGATCAAATTTAAAATTATATTTTATCATTTATCAATAAGTTTAATAAGCAAAAAAGACTGCAAGAGTTTTTTTTAATTTGTTTTATGTAAGTAATTTATTTTTGAAATTATGGCTGATAAATTCAATGAAAAAATTACCAAAAAAAACCTTTTTTTAGGTTACAAAAGCGGACCTATCAACACTTGTATTTTATTGGGAGTTTGTGAGTCTAACAATGGAGGATGTCACCCAATGGCAGACTGCACCCCTGCCCCTGGTTTGTTTTTTTTTTTAAAGAATTGTCATAATAATTGTCAGATAAATTTTTTATGTTCATGTCGGTCTGAGGCATTTTCATTATTTTGATAAAAATCTTTTAATATTTATCTTTTCAATGTAGCTAACGTAGCTGATGGTCAACTGGTGAAAATTTGTACGATGCATCTACTTAAAATATGTATGCTCGTTTGCGTACTACTAAACGTCCTTAGAGACGTGTGGAATATTACGCTTCCTTTACAGCTCGTCTCCCACCAAAAGGTGTCAGCGGCGCGCACACGACCAACGTGAACACGCGCGAATCTGCGCGGAAATCTTTTTGCATTCGAATTCAGTCAGTCACTCTTTTGCCAAATCTGCACTTGGTTTTTTTGACTCTTTTGTCTGGAACTTTCCACCTCTTTCTCTGACTACTTCTTCATCAAGTTCAGAGCGGATCTCAAGACTCATCTGTTTGCAAAATTCATTGATGAGCGCTGTTGAACGTCGCGGAAATAGCGCTTTATAAACTAATTGATTGATTGATTGATTGACTGAATTTAACGCAGAGCCAGGGCCCTTCAATCATGAAACTGCAGAAAAAAGTTTTTTTTACTAATCGTGTAGCCAATCACTAGATTAACTTATCTCAGGAAGCAATTGATGCCAATTATTTGAATATTTTTAAAAACCGTATAGACTGTATATTAGATGAATAACTTGAAGCTGTTACAGTGCTGTAACCTGACCCAGTGCACAAAAAAGCATCACAACATATGTTATTATTATTATAAAATATTTTTAATTTAGCTTTTTCAATTTTCTAAAAATGTGAATAATAATTTTCAGTTATTCTTTTTTAACGTTTCAATACAGGCGTTGGTTGGATGCAAAGAACTTGCAAATGTCGGGACGGTTTGATTGGCGATGGGGTCGGTTTTTCTGGTTGCAGGAATGACAAAAATATAACGATAGATAGTTGCTTGAACAACTTCTGCCAACATGGAACTTGCAAAGTCTCTTTTGTTTGTTTATAACTTTCGTGTGTTTATCCGTTTGCTATTTTTTTTATCCGTATGTGAAAAATCCATCAGTCGCCTAAGCGTGTACCATTTAATAATAATAATTGTTAATTTAATTGTTCATAATTTAATTCTTCACAATTTAATATTTTACATGAGTTTGTGAGACGTGAGAGGTTGAGAACTAGCGGACAGCAGTAGAGGTTGTTATTAATATTTAAACCCGTTGGACCTATACGATGAAGTAGTTCGTTAAATATGAACAAACTTAATAGTACGAGGCCACAACGAATGACTGGAAGGTGATATTGTGTTTGACGGTTCAATCAAACTGAATGAATCCAATCTCTGTTTGAAGGGGTCCGTGACAGAAATTGTGAATATCTTGAAATATATTGAAATCTGATGGAAATCTCCTGGGCGAAGTTGTGGATAATTTTATTTCTGGAACGAGAAATTTGAAACCTCATTTAATTACGATGTTGTTATTCTTGTTTTTACATGTTTTATTGATTTTTCAAATTTGTTAGACTTTAAACCATGAGGACGTGATGTAGGTAGATACAGTTTAGTTTTAAAAAATATTTCTTAAGCTGAGAAGTAGTTACAATCTTCGTGACTACAACATTTACACGTATTTTTTATGTCCAATTGAGTTTTAGTTGTTATTAATAACAACAAAATAAAACTTGCTCAGCCAACGACAGCCGAAATGTATGTATGTACATGTGAGCTAGGCTGGGCTGGCCCTCTGTGTGAGAGACAAATTTCGAGAAACTGCTCACTCAGTCCTTGTAGAAACGGTGGCACATGCATGCCTCTTGGTGACGAACTTATTTGCCTCTGCCCACCTAGGTTCACTGGGTACGCGTGCGAAATTCCATTCAATGGCAAGTTGTTTTGTTTTCTTTTAAAACTTTCTTACCTGATAATTTTTTAGACATGGCATTTCTACCGACTGAGCTAACTCTATGACCAACTAATTTCATTTCATTAAAATTATAATCATTTATGAACTTTTTCTTATTCCTTTCGTTCGAGTAATTTATTTTTAAATTGTCATTTAGCAGACAAAGCTTTCAAGAAATGCTAATGATAAAAACTATAAAATATATAACTCATTTGACTTGAGCAGCTTGCGGTGGAAAATTGACTGGACATGGTGGAATGGTCAATTTCAATGGAAAACTAGCATCGGATTTTCAAAATTCTTCTTGTATATGGAATATTGAAGGCCCCGTCGGACATGTAATAAAAATTGCTTGTTTTTACTAATTTCTGATTAAAACTCTAAATAATGTATCAAAACTTTTTGTAGTATAGCTCATGTCATTCTTTTATCGTTAACTCATAAAACATTTATTTCTCTGTCGTCATTATAATACTTTATTTTTTAATGACATTTTGTGTTTGATTTTGAAGATACTTTTAATTGAGCCCTGATCTGTATCTAATACAACTATTCACTTGACGAATTTTTATTTGTTCATTGAAAATACTTTTGATGTGGTTTGAAGTTCATCGTTAAGATTTTTTTATGTTATATAAGGACTTCGAATTTTTTTTCTATCTGTTACGTCTGTGAATATCTAGATAAACTAATTTTTAAAACAATGTCAAAATGATTATATAAAAAATTTAATCTATCTGACACGTTGTTCGTTACTTGTTTTAGTATATTCGGCTGAAGTTCATTAAAGTGTACGAGAGTCAAAGTCAACCTGCATCGGGTTGTCCACTATGGACATTGGAAGTTTTGGATGGCTCGCGCTGGGACAGCAATCAACTGAAGAAAGATTGCAGCCAGCGTTTGTTACAGAACAACATAACTTCGCGTGACCATAAAATGACCTTGAAGCTCACTCACGAGCTTCTCCAGGAGGAGTTGTTTCAGGCACAATGGACGGCTGAGACTGCAAGTTTGTTTGTTGCTTTTTGACGGATTACGTTGGAAACAACGTGGATTAATGAATCTCAATGTAACTTGAAAACATATGTAATACTCAATTTGAAAATGTCGTCATTTTATGAATATACTTTGAAAAAGCTAACGTTTTTGACTAGCTGCTTTTACGTTTAAATACAATCAACTAGTTTTTGTATTTTTGGATTATTTGCTTTTCTTGCCCAAGATGCTGTTCACTATAAATGTGTCATTAATCATTCAACCAATGAATGGTACTTTGTGCTGAGGTCCACTGTTTTTGGATTTCAAAAATTCTTTTCTATCTTTGGCTAGTTTAGTTGAGTTCAATATTCCCATTCAATTTTGTCATTCATACATTTTTCGCAGGTTTTCCAACTTTTTTCTTTCAGTATCGCCTTCTCATTAGTGGATCCTACTAATTTATTATCTGGTATTCTTCCAAAATGAATCCCAGCTCTGTACTTTGACATGAAATAATAACAAATAAATATTTGTTTCTTAGGTTTGTTGCCTATAATTTCGTTTTTCTCGTTCTGTCTCCAGGTAATTCCTATTAATTTTCTGTAGAACTCATTTTGAAATGCTTCCTACCCGTCATTGTTTTTCTTCTTAATTTTCCAAGTTGGTAAAAACGAACGTTTTTATTTTTTTGACTTTATTTTGAGATATATTACCACTTTTCTAATTTTTTTTTTCAAATATGCTTACTCCCCTCGTGTTTATGTTTTTTTTGTTTAATTAAAAAAAACGATTACATGAAAATAAGAATCAGTCAAAATTAATTCTCGCCTTTAACACTTTAAGGGGTTGTTGGAGGAACCACCAACTTTAAAAATCCCTTCCTGTCTTTTCTCACTTTTTTTGAGTTTTCATTCTTATTCCAGTCGAATCTGCAATTTCTCCTATCCATCTCTTGTCGTTTTTTTCCAGTTTCTTTTTCTCATTAGCATTAATAAATTTTATGAATTGCATTGGTTGGGGATTGATCGACGAAAAAGCTTTCAGCTTGCGATTAGATTTCTCAAATACTTAAGCTCTAAAATCTTTGTGCAAGTTTGCACCTGGCTCATAATTCCAGTGTGTACTGGTTTATTATTATAAGCAGTCTTCCAAATGCATTTTTATCTATTTCCATAGTTACAAAAATTTAATTATTTTTCAGACTTTATATTTATTGAAAATGCAATTTTTGTTTGATTGTTTAAAAAAAGTTATTTGAATTTTCTTCAGAATGCGGGGGCATTATATCATTGCCGTCTGGCATTATTAACAGTCCCAATTATCCGTGGGATTACTCGAACAATCTGATGTGTGAGTGGGTCGTGCAAACCAATCCCATCTCCGTCATCGAGATCAACGTCATCGATGTTAACATTGAATACAGTAACAACTGCATCAAGGACAGTATCGAGGTATGAATGAAGTAATTTGATAGTTCAATATGGTTATCTAATATTATTTTTGCAATGAAGATTATGGATGGGTTTGATTCAGAAAGTCAGCTTCTGCAAAAGATATGCACGTCAGACGTTCATATGACTCTCACATCGTCTGGACCAAATATTTTCATTCGTTTCATTTCTGACAATGACCAAACTGCTAAAGGATTTCATTTCGCTTTCAGAACGAGGAAAAGTATGAATTTGATAAAAGTCGTTTCCATCTGAAATCATGATTATTATACAAACTTTTATTTTTTTCACAAAAGGGTCGTGTGGTGAGGTTTTCATGAATGCTCTCAATGGCAGTTTCACATCTCCAAATTATCCTCACTTGGTTAACGATGTAACAACGTGCATTTGGATCATTTCGGCCGGCGACCAATTTGTTGAATTGTCGTTTGAGAACATGGTGCCAGGTGTTAATTCACTAAGATGTAACAAAGATTATTTAGAGGTTCGCTCATGTATATAATTCATTGTAATTTTTTATTTTATTTTGTTGATAAAAACAATATAAGTTTTTTAAAAGAGCAAATGAGTCTCACGTTCTTTGAAACTTCGTAATAAATACATATTGCTATTTAAAATTATAATAATTGCTATATAATATAATATAATCATTTAAAAGGAACCCTTTAAATTTGTTTAAAAAAATCAGATAAGATCAGGAATAAATGAGACAGGAAGCTTCTTGGCTCATCACTGCAGCGGAGATAGGATTTCAAATTTTATCGGAAATACTTTCTTCATCAAATTTCAAAAACTTGAACGGCGATCAGTGTGGTCGTTTAAATTTAGCTGGACCCATTGTTAGTTTTTTTTAATGTTGGATCAATAAATCAACCAGCTATAATTGGGTTAATTAAAACGTCAATGCATGTAGATTGCAACTTTACGCTGGATGAACAAAATGGTGTTATACAATCTCCATTTTATCCCAAACCTTATCCTAGCTATGCAAATTGTCAATACAAGATTTCCAGACCGGAAAGCACTTTTATTCAAGTGACGTTCGAAGATGTAGATATTCGTGATGTGGCTGGTCCTAACAGATGTAGATCATCCTATCTCGAGGTTTGCAAAATCCTCAAACATATTCAACTATTTTTTTTCATTTAAATTCCGTGTAAAGTTGATCAGACAAAATTAGGTCGACCTACTTTATCGTGTGAGATACTTGAGCAACGTTTTTATTTTGCCAACCAATCATATGTTGTTTATTATATTTTAACTATTTAACGTATTCATCTGCATATATAAAGAAGTTATAATTAGCACTGCGTATAATTACTTGTTACAAACAGTGTAGTAAAATTTTATGTAAACAGTGTCAAATAGAAGAAAAAAAAATTTGTTAAGGTGTATAACTTATGTTTATAAGTTAGTTACCTTAATTTAGCCTAACTTTGTAGAATTTGAATAGAAAAACACAACATAATTTAAGTTTAGATGAAGGATGTTTCTTCCATCATAGAAATAAAAACTAACATAACAGAGCTACAAAATAGGAGAAACGAAATTGTGTCGGCGGAAAGTTAAAATAGATTTCAGACGCCTACTTCCCGTAGAAAGGTCTGTAAAGCGATCACACTTTGTTTCATTAGGTCATGTACATCAATTTGGGTAGAGATATGATTTAAGGGTTGAAAAGTTTGGTTCTTCATGCCAGGATCGCTCAAGTGCAACCAATCACCACACATCCATTGTGAAACTGTGTGAGTTGGTATTCGCCATTGATCTCTGGGCTTATTTATACCAGAGATGTCCGGAGATTCATAGTTTTAGCGTCTTTTTTGACGTATATTCATTCAAAAATGTGTACATTATTATTTTTTTATTCATACTTTCAAAGAATGAGCAATTTGATGAATTTTTTAGTTAATTTTTTTCATTTAGGTAATTTAACATTTTTAATAGGTTAAATTTATTTGAGTTTAACCGTAGCTTTGAAAATTAGTAATTGAAATAACGTTTGCGGCAACATAAAGTAAATTGCTATAACTTAATTGTTTGAAGTGCAAGTATTTTTTATTTTTCCTCTTAATTTGCATTGGAAAAATGTTTTGTAACTTCTCCACTGTAAAGGTGATATCAAGCAACCGAACAAGATTATGTGGGTCTTTACATTCATTTTCCGAAATTTACTTTACTGGCATCGTTTTGTTCAACTTTTTTGGTGGAATAAATGATCATAGAAGAGGTTTCAAATTAAGTTACACTACCCCGAATTCAACTTTTGATAAATTGTACTCAGGTACATTTCATGTTCTTAACTTTCTTCATGTTAATCTATCATTTTTGCATAACTTAATGTTAATGATTCAATAAAGAATAAACATATCCATCTTAATTTAATTAATTTAATGCTTATTTGGAAAAGATATTTTTAATTGCATAAGATTTATTACGTTTGAATGGAAATGAACTTTTTCAGAGGATCGATGTGGAGGTATATTAAAAGGACCTTCAGGTTCAGTGAGTTTTCCAGTTGATCCGCTCAATAGGCATGATGTTGACTGTATTTGGCTGATTGTTGTTGATCCTGGAAATATCATTTCACTCACTTTTGATCGCTTCAGTCTAGAGGCATCATCGACGGATGGTTGTCATTACGATTACCTTTCAATTTTTGCTGATAAAGAAATGAAAGTGCCTCTGACTGAAAAGTTTGAAGTTTTAGTTTTTTTGACTACTTTTTTAAACGTTGCATAAAAATGAATTTTCTGATTTGATAGATAATCAATTACAGCAATAGGTACTGCGGTGGAAAGATGCCGCCGAACGTTAGGTCCTTTTCAAACATAATGCTTTTAAGGCTTCATACTGATGAGCGAGACGAGAGTGCAGGATTTTCTGCGAGATATTTCGCCATTCCAGCTGATGAAAGTTAGTTTTTAGTGTAAAAAATCGTGTAACAGTTAATTTTAATGTTTATCGAAAACGATTTTTAGTACTCATTGTCAACCGTGAATATTGAAATAAATCTGATGACAGCTTGTGGTGGTTATCTTAGAGAACCAGTTGGAGTGATAGTAAGCCCTAATTATCCGGGTCGATATCCCGACAGCTATCACTGTGTCTGGACCATCGTGATGGAGTTTGGCAAGCAGATTCATCTGAACATCACGAGTTTGGATATGGAAGAGGACGTGGATTGTATTTCTGATTATCTGGAAATAAGGTTGACTCTTACTTCAACAACACTTTGCTGCGGCGTGATGGTCTAATGGTAAGGTCGCCTGGTGCTGTTTCGCTGTAACCGGGTTCGAATATAACAGAAAGATCCTCGCCGATCACATGCTTCGTGTGTGATGCGTCGTTTAGCATGTATTCATATACGATGTTTGTGCGCTTTGTTGAATTTTCTGAACTTTGGAAGGGTGTAATTGACCTTTAACTTTGTTAACCTTTGCTTCACTAATATCTCAATTTATTTTTGACTCTTAACAATGTTAATTTTTACTGGTTATCGTTGTTTTTAAATTATCATCATCATTGTATTTCCTAGTTATTTATTTATAAAATTTCAAATGATGGAAATAAAAAATTGAGCCTAGCTTATAAATATTTCACTCTGATTAAGTTGGAAAATGTTCATTTTCATTGACGAACAGGGATGGAAGTGCAACAGATTCTCCTTTGATTGGAAAGATCTGTCGTTTGCCTGAAGAGAATTTTATTTCAACAGGAAATAAATTGTTATTGATATTCCAGTCAGATATGAAATACAATGGAAATGGATTCAAAATAATATACGACGGTACCATAACAGGTACACGAACTGGCATTTTATATATATATATTTTAATATTTACAATGATATTTCCATTTAAATGTTCAAATTAAGTATTATTAAACATTTTATTCGTGGTTCATTTGCAAATGTTTTAATAAGATGTTTTGTTATTTTTATCAACTGGTTTCACGCTCAAATACATGAACAATTTTTAAAAATTTCGTCTGGACACGTTTGAAAAAGCTATTTGTTTAAAAAATGAATGACATTATTTAATTTTTTTTAAATTTATTTTTATACATAGTTATCAAACTTATTTATAATGTAGAGATGCACGAAATACTGAAGTTTAATGAACGCTAAACTAAACAGTTAACCCCTGACTGATTATCAACATTTGAATGAGATATGAAAAATTCAATTGAATCAAAAAGTAATTTTTGAAAGGAAAAGATACCTTAAATGTTGTTTTTAAAATTATTTGGCAAACAATTTTTCACTTTTAGAAAATGGAAAGAAATTTTTCAATTTTAAACTAGTTGAAGTTAATGAAAATTTTATTACGTATCAGAAACTAGTTAATCATCTAAATATTAATAACGCGTCGAATTATTATTCAGCCATTATTCAATTTATTATTTCAATCATCAGTTTTACGCTTGAAAGATGCTATAAAATAACAATAACAACAATAATAATAATAATGGTGATGATGATAATAATGATTATGATAATAGCGGAACAAAATTTTTGGCTGAATATTCAATGAACTGTGGAAGCTTCGGAAAACATTCTATTAATATCATATATGGAATAATTAAATCATTTGTTTTTAGGATGTGGCGGCACATTCAGAGCTTCTTCTGGTTCATTTCTCTCCCCAAACTACCCTCTGGCATTTCCTGCTGGACACCAATGCTCGTGGAAGATAATAGTTTCAAATGGTAGCCTGGTCAAATTAACTTTTAACGATTTTTCAGTGCCATCATTTTCGGAAGGGTGCAATTTTAGAAGGGTCGAGGTTGGATTTTTTAATGTATGAATAGTATTTTATTATGACTGTGTACCGTTAAATACAGTTCTGTTCAGATTGAAACTTTAATTTTTTTCGTGTCAAATACGTTTGAAAAATTTCAGCTAAAAATGTCCAAATACGATTCCAAAGTGGAGATAGTATGCGGTCCATTGTCTTCCTTAGTGTATACATCATTGGAAAATGAAATGTCAATTTCGTTGATGAATAGGATGCCCCATCCATCATCTGTCGTTAAACTTCGCGCCACCTATTATACTGGTATTTTCTTAAATGCATAATTTATATATATATTTTTTTATTATTCTTAAAAATATCAGAATCTGACAAACGCAAAAACTGTTACAACATGCGAAGCAATAGTATAAAAATGGTAAAAAAAATAAATAACGGAGAAAAAATGTTGAAGCATGAAAAGTATGGAAAAATAAAGTAATGGTTTAAAAGTCAGATAAATTAAATAATTAATTATTAGACTAGTTAATGACTTAGTAAGTTAGTTAAGTGATCAATAGGAAAAAGGAAAACTAAATTGAGTAGATGATAAGGTTATATTGAGTGCTGATGGTGTATTTAAGATGTCTTGTGATGAAGGTTGATTGAGTGGCGACTTGATAGTTATGCTTGCTTTGACGAAGGTTGTGTGTGGTAGTTTTGATTGGTGGTTGAAAAGTATGGATGACGTGGTTGTTGTTATTTTCTACTTTCTTGAACAGTCTTGAATCGAGGGTGTTGAATATCTGAGTGACGGTAGAATATGATGCAGGCAGATAGTTGAAGCGGATTAGTTTTTTTGATGAGAGATTATAGTTGCTGAAGTTGTTGTTGTGTAGCAAAACCAGACTAGGAGGGAGCTGCATATTTAATGCGTGAGATTATGAGTGATTTAGTGATGTCGAATAATTTGATGCCTCTGAGACCATGTGAGCTAAGTGTTTTGAGTGCATGAAATGTTTGAAAACATTCTGTGATGATGTGATTGATATGAGGTGCTACGTTAAGTGTGGAGGTGAATGTGATGCCTAATATTTTAAATTGACTTATGCGAGTGATTGATGGATGCTCTGGAAGTAATGATGAGTTCGAACGATTTATTGAGGTTAAATGACAGATTGCATCGATTTTACCATGTAGTTAACAAATCGAGTTCTGATTGGATTGTGTTTGAGTTAGATGACAAGGTAGAAGTTGTCAGCGTATTTGATGATTTGATTAGTGCTATGAAGAGTTTTGAGAGTAGAAGCATTGCTGATAAAGGTTGCTGGTCCAAGGACAGAACCTTGATCTACACTAGAATTAATAGGCTAGGTAGATGAAAGAGTAGAGATAAAAATAGTTGAATGATTCCTATTAGAAAGAAAATTTATTATAATATTGTAAATGTTGTCAGGTAGAGGAAGGGAGGCTAGCTTAATTGAAAGTGAGCAGTGATTGAGAGTTTCAAAAACTTTAGAAAAGTCGAGAGCAATAAGATGAACTAGCTATTAATTTTAAGAAAAGATGTTATTATAGGAGTAAAAGAGATGAGGGCAAATGTAGATAAACCAATCTATATGGCGAAATGCGAACTGATCTTGTAATAATGGTTTGATAGACGGATGATTGAAACATGGGTAGATAAATGACCTAACAATGAATTTTTCTAAAATACGTGAAAGTATGGGGATGGTAGATATTAGGCGATAATCTATTGGTGATGTTGGGTATTTTGTTTCAGGAATTTGATGAATTGTGCTGGATTTCCATTGTCATGGGATGAATGAATGCATTAAGCAGTGATTGTAGGACGAGCTTAAGATGCTGGAAACGAATGGTGCGATGAATTGTAGAAACCATGATGATAGACTGTCTGAATCTGTACCGGATGGGCAGGCTTTTTTAGCATGTGCAGGACTGAGAGTGGGTTAAACTCTTGGTGTTGGTGACGATTATTAATTGTTGTTGCTTTTGTTGGTGGAATTTTTAATTCTAATTAAGTTACAATCAAAGTCGCTGTAAAAACAAAGACGCAAAGACGGAACAATACTATATAACTACACTGATGATGGCAGTTGATGCCAAAAAGACTTTTCTGTAGTAATAACGTTATTAATAATTTTTATTTAACCTTAATAAACTCCATCAAGACGATATAAGTCTCGTTAGAAAAATTGAGAAACTCAACTACAAGTTGAATAATGCCGTGATCCTTATAAATAATTGTATATATATATATTATATGTAATTATTGATGATTTTGAGAATTATTCTAAATGTTTTCAATGTATCTTTTATACATTCAGCATACACCAAACAGCGTCATAATATATAAATAAATAAATAAATAAATATATATATATATATATATATATATATTGATGAAAA